ACCATTTAGGTTACACTGTTCCTATGCACACAGACCCCATGCAAATTTTCTGCAGATAGAAGAGCTGTGAGCCTGTCAGAGGTCATCTGCATTAAATGATTGCAGCTATTTTTTTCCAACTGCTTCTTTTTATTCTGTGAATTCAGAGCAGTGAGAACACTTCAGTCTAATATCTGAACTCTTTGACTGTTGCTGTGTAACATGAATCAACAGGAAGGTTTATTACAAATGATGAATGGTTATCAAGCAGTACTAAACTACCATAATGTAATCTTCGTGAAGAAAAATTCTAACAAGTTCAATAATCTCTGACGGTCTTCAGCAATCCACATAATCAAAGGTCTTTTAAAGAGTTTCAGATTTGTCAAATTACTATCTTCTCTCTAAACAGTCTTGGATATGGATATACTTTATCAAAAAACTGTTAGACAAAATGACATACCTGTCATTGCAATTTACTTTACTCATTTACAGTAGGTAAAGAAAGTGCTCTTTTGACCCCTTAAACAGCACTAAAGCCTGTCTTCGATAGATCAGACGCAATTACGAAATTTCTTTTTTTTAACTCAAATGTTCGACAATCAATCTTTTGAAATATTGCATTTTGAAAATCACAACTTTGTGCAAAGACTTCTGCTGTTTAAAAGCAGGGTCAAAGTGAATAAGCTGTCTGCCCTCATAAGAGAATTTCAGAGTAATATAATTTGAATTTAATTATTAATGGAAGATATTTAAAAAAGATTGCTTCATGATCTCCTATTAGTGAATTTGCAATTCATTTTGATATTTGGAGTTTGATTTATAATGATGATAATGCAATCTATGTCCAATTAACAATGCATGGGCTATGTAATGTGATTTTCAACGCGTGTAAATGGAATCAGCTCTTAGAAAAAAACTGATTCAGAAGCTCAAATGTAATTTGCTTGGTAAGTTCTGGCAATTTTAAATGACATTGCAGTTCTTTAATCTTTTCAAAGATCATGAAGTAAATGTGTTCAGAATCAAGTTATCCTATTATTACTTTACAAAAAGAAAAATGTAGGATCTTCCACTGTTATTTCTTATATTCTGGAATTATTTGTGTATATCTTCATATTAAAAAAAAGTAGTTCAATTATTTCTCCATTCTGTATGTGACAACCTTTGACTGCTGTTAGCTATCCTGATCTTTTAAACTAATAACTGTACATTGGCAACTAATTAAGGTACTTCTTCTGACACTTCTTACATTGATTTCAGTAAGTGGTCATAGTTGCTGGTAGATGACTGCATAGATTGACACGCTGGCCTCTAGCAGATTCCTACGCTGTGTGTGTATGCAGCGGAGCTTAGGACCTTCCACTGCTGAATAAAAAGAGCCTTTGTTCACTGCTGAATGGCATTAGGCATGGGCTTCCTATGGGGCCACCATGTATCTTAGCAGGAAGATTGTAGATCGCCACCAGAAACTGCAACTTAAATTTATTTTAATTATTTTGCAATAATATGTTTGTACTTTATTTTAATAAAAACAACACTAATGCATTTTGGAATTTATAATGCACTTGTTATCGTTGTTGCCTCATAGTTTATATTTTGTATGTTAATTGATGACTATATACCTATTGCATAATTCACATTTGGAACAGAGGATCTCAAAATAGTCTTAAGGTTGTCTCAATAATCTGCAATGTTTATTGGCCTTTTCACACTCTGTTTGGTAGCCATAGCTTCACTATGTACTTACTATGTAGAGACCCTTTTCAATCTGACCAACAGAGGAACTATACAAAGACTTATAATAGATGTCTTTGCTTGACTGTGCTTTTAAAGCATTATTTTGAATTCCATCATGCTGTCTTTTTTTCCTCCCTCTCTGAAGTTTATTACAAGAGCTGAATTCCCAGGGAGCTTTGGGGGCAGAGTTCACATAATATGGCCATGCGATCTTTTTTCCTCTGTGGAGTGGATGCATTGCAATCTTGAGCATCTTTCTGTTTTTCCCTTCTCTGAATCCGGTGTTGTTTCATTACAACACTCAGTCAGCCCGGGCAGTTTTCACTGTAATAGATTTTACATGTGTAGATGTTTTTCATATGTTCAAGGTCAGAGAAGTTCTGTAAAGTTTCCATGAAAAGTTTCCTTTCCTGACCCCTGTGTGACTAGGCACCTTATTCTTTTAGCACTGAAGGAGGCTAAAAAGTGCCCAAATCTGTCAAAGTGAGCCTTCTATACACATCTGAAAATGGCTTATTCTTCTGGTCACCATGGTGACAATTAACAGTGTTTCAAAGCTTTGTCTGTCTCTCCATTTGGGGAGAATTTTCTTTGGTGTGATTTTTCGCCAAAACTGTTTTACAAAAGCTTGCATTTAGCATAAGTTTTTTTTAAAACTAGTATGTTAATTACATTTGCACAAATTTGAAATAAGGGTTGTGTGTGTTATAACAATTTGGCCTATGTTGATTTTGCAGTGCTTTTAAATGTCAGTGAATGTTTTTTAAAAAAACTTTGTGCAGGAAGTTTTCAAATGATTCTGGATGCAGTTGGACGGTTTGTAATTGAACATGAAAATGCACATAAAAGTTTTTCCGGAATGGACCAATGTTTGCTGAGAGTCCCTAGATTGTTCCTTTGTTCTTTTGTCCAGTATTGCAAGTAAAAAGCTTGTGGATACTGTAGCAGCTTCTTATCAGAATTAAAACATTTATGCAAGGATATGCAGAGAATCGTGATTTTAAACGTTTTAAAAAAGATCAGTTTAAAAGTGAACTTGTAATTTTTAGTAATCTCCCAGCAATCATTTAAAAATGTTTTTTTTAAAAAGGCAAATGTAAAGTTCCGTTCTTTTATGACCAATGTTAAATGCATACTTTTCTCTATATTTTCCATCTATTGTGCTGTGTAGCTCTCTGTCCTCTTCTAAAGTACCACTGTATTAAGCACAATTCTCACAGTAGACTTGACAGGCAGACAACCTGCTCTAAGTTATTTGACAATATCGCTGTTCATCCAGAGGTGCATGAGAGTCACTGGGGGAGGGGGTGACTTGCACTGTGATTTTCTTTCTTCCGGCATTCCTTCCAGTGGGGAATCCCTGACCTTTTTTTCCTTAACTCTCATGGGTAGAATGACCAAGAGCTCCTCGTATGAGCTCAGATCTGCTAACTACTGATCTCCCAGCTTTTGTTTTCGATTGAGAAACCAAGATGAATAATCCAGGATAATCAAGGTTCAAACAAATAAGAAACATCACACAAATAAATTAAAAGAATTGGTTGGATGAAGCAAAGGTTTGATTTTAAATCCTGTGAATGCATTAACTTTTTGTTACTTTCAAAATGCACAAATAACTCAATTTAGACAAAGAAAACTACTGTTATTGGACAACTATTTATATATTGACACTCTGCAATAACAGTTCTAATCTCTCGATTGTTTGAAGATTTTTAGATTTGAACCTAAGTACTATAATTCTCTCATCATCAAAGTCAAGTAATCTATGAATATTTACCTCATCTATGACTCGTATCACCTGGTCTTCTGAATCTTTATTTTTCTTTGAGGAAATTTGATTTCACTCCCAATCTATATTATTATATTAAAGTCTCTGTGGTTCCTGCATCGTATGGTATGCTTCGTTCGAATGGATCTCCAGATATTCTATTTTATTATTGACTCCTGCTGTTTTTGTATAACATTTTGAGGCATTGGTATCCCCATTCCTTAGCCTGCATTGTTTCATTTTTGGCCTAATTCTTTCCATGTGATGATATTTTTATAGTGCTTAGCTCTCATATCAGTGTTTACATTCAAATTAGCATCTATTATCTACTCCTGCTTTCCATAATTTCTGCCCTCTTTCATTGTTGTTTGTTTATTATCTCTGATCTTCTTTGTCCCCCCCCCCTTGCTTTATTAGTTTAAATGATGCTTTACTGGCATTTAACTTCTGCAAAGACATTGCTACCTGTCTGGTTCAGGCGAATCTCCAGTTTCAAGGAAATATTTTCTGTGAGAGGCGAATGATGATCTTGACTGAAATGTCAGGATAAGATGTAATCCTTTAAAATGTATAAGTGGGAATATATCATGGGAAACTCAGAGGATGAGTCAACCAGGTTTGCATTCATCTCTTGGTGCATAATAACATAGGATAGCAAACAATTACATTTATATGTAAGCACCTTTCCTGCTGGGAGGATGCGAGTGAATACAGTGAATAACTACACAGGAGCAACACAATGAATAATGAAACACATTTTTATTCAGAAAAATCTCTCCAGACAATGGTTAGTGAATTGGTATTACAATCTTAAGATTATTCAAAAGAATCATTAGTTAGGAACTAGGCAACTTCTGACTACCTTCAAGGACATGTAGTGAAAAATAGTCAAGTGAACTAAATGTCATTGAATCAGAAATGACAGGTCTGCTTCCCCCACCTCCACCCACTCATCTGTTTGGTCATATGAAGGAATTGCACATACCAGAAATAGTGTGAAACCTGAGATCAGCAGGCAGAAATGTTTGTTTTGGGACATGGATTTGTAATATAATTTGTTGTTGTTGAGTATGATGACTGTTATCAACACATTCGCCTCATTTGGATCCTAAATTTCAGCAGGACTTACTGTGAAAAAGCATGTTCAAGTGAAACAAATTACTGTTGTTATGGTTGATGGATCATAGGTCTTAGTTAATTAAAGAGTATTGGTGGATTCATCCAGTCATTTAATTTCTCAACTTACTCTGTAAATATTATATCAGCTTCGTTGGGCATAGGTTGAAGACTGTCACAAAGTGCTGACGACCCAGGCTTGAATTTGCTGTAAGCTATCACTTTCAAAGGAGTGGATTTATTTTTAAGAATGTGCATCAAAAGGCATGAACCATGATATTTCTTTAAGTGTTACAACGTGTGAACGCTAGAGAATCTGATAATATTCTGAACACTTTAGCATAGTCTATTAGGTATTTAAAATAGATATACTAAAGTATGGCCATTTGCTTCGCAGGGTTACAGCATGGAAATGTCAATTTGGCTTCCTAAGAAAATACAGTTGCTAAATAAGGTTGAATCACTGAAGCAAGATGGCAGCTCATTATCGAGCAACTTCCTTGAAAAAGTAGAGAAAATTAAAGAAAAATGGGATCTGTTAGAGGTATGTTCTTTCTAATCATCCATCTCTGGGGAATTGCTTATGGACACAAAATTTACCGACGTTTCCTGGAACACTTTGCAGTTAAACATTGCAATGTGTAGGTGAGTGATGATGAACAAGGAATCAGGTGTAGGTCTCATAACAATAAAATGTGGTGTTATGTAATTGAATCACTGTTGAACGTGGAAGTTCAGCAAAATATATCTATTTTCATTGAGACATTGATTAACCCATTGAAGGAAATTCCGTCTCTAACACACAATATGATAGTGTAAATTATATAGCAACTTTCATGTCAAGAGGATGCCCCAAGGCACTGCGCAATTCAGGGTTTGCACCCAAGCTTGGGTTGGGGTTTGATGGAGGATGATGGTGGGGGCGTGAGGGGAAGATGGCTGAAAACATGGTCAAAGAGGAAGCTCTTGAGGGGGACCTGAAGGAGGCCAGGGAAGGGCAAGTCGAAGTGCCTTCAGGATGGAGTTCCAGAGAGTGGTTGGGTGGGGGTGGGAATGTAAAACAGGCCAGTACACACTGAGTGGAGGAAGAGTTCAGGTTGGTTGGGTGTGAGGAGGCTACAGAGGTAGGATGGGGACAAGACCATGGAGGGATTTAAAGGTCAGGATGAGGAAATTAATGATTTATGTTTCCAAACTTAAATCCACCAAGGATTATCACGACCTCCTGTTGGTTGAACTTTGATGGAGGTATGAACAAGCTGCATGTCAGACTATTCCTGGCATCTAAACTGAAGGAGAAAATGTGGTACATAGAGGCAACGATAGTAGAGATGGAGACGGCAGAAGGAAAGAAAACAGATAGCAAAGTTTCTATTATTTCCCCTAGATTATTGTGAGTCTAAGCTTACCATTACACCATGGCAGAGAAGTAACCACAGTATTGGAGTATTTTGCACATCAAGTCCCATGTGATTTACACATTGCCACAATATAAGAACTGTTTAATTAAGTAAACAAGATTGCATTAATATACCAAAATGATTAAATTGCTTTTAATCAAAATAACAAGCAAAATGAAAATGAGAAAGGGATGTTTCTCCTAACTGGAGCCATTTCTGGCTCTTATGAAGAAACTGAATTTAATTCCTTTTCATTTATTATAAGGTTTAAATTACACAGGGAGGCTGGGTAGCTGTAATGTTCAACAGTTGTATGTGTCATAGCTAAAAGTGATGCATTATACTATCAACACAAAACAAAAATATTTAATATTGCCATCATTTAAATTGAATTGACATTATAAACAAAATGAAAATTTTAACTTTAAAACATCTTAAAATAAAGTGGGAAGGATTTTAATGTAGCTTTCATCTAAAGGGAACAGTCTGAAACAGAAAATGATAAAATAAAATGTCAGTGGTGCGTGGAGTTTAATCCGAGAAATCTTGTCCCCCGTGCTGCACATTACTCCATCTCAATTGCATATTAAACAACCCTATCAAGGAAGGCATTGGCATCTGCTGTGCTGCCACAAATTGTGAATTAAATGAAATTGATGTCCTCTGTCGTATATTTATGAAGACAGACCATTCTCAGAAGTATTCTGCTTATGAAGAATTTATGATTGCAAACTGTTACTGAACAGAAAGTGGCAATAAATTCCTTTTTTTGTAACCTACCCTCTCTGGGTATTGATTCCGCGCTTGCTGATAAATTTGTCACACCAGAAAAACAATAGCCGAATCTGGATTCTGCTGTGAGCCTTCATATTATTAGTATTCCCATGGTATAAGGGACTGGTTTGCCAGAATTATTCACCTAAGATTTTCTTGAATAGATTGCTTCATATCAGTTGTACATAGTGATTTCATTGAGTCTGCATGCAGTAGTTCCCCCTTCCCAACCCAAACACATTGGCTATTTACTGCTCACAATAATAATGTCAGAGATTAATAACCATTTTAGTAATGGGGATTACCATTCAACTAATACAGCACCTTCATTGCACTTTTTTTAATACGATATCCATAATTAACTGCATTAATATATTACTGTAATTTAGAAGTTCCTTGAGACTATAGTGTATAGTAGTTTGCTCTGTAATTAAATACATATTGTATCTGTTGTCTGAAGTCTCTGTTTCAGACTCTGTTTCAGACTCTGTTTCAGGCTTGGTTTGAATTGGATTTTTTAAAAAAATTGTTTTAGCCAGGAACACTTTCCTATAAAATAGTTACTTGTCAATAATTACTGGAAGAAGGTGTTGCAGTGCATCAAGTTAATTGATCTTTTTCTCTTACTATATCAGAAAACCCTTGGAGAGAAGACACAGGACATGGTAGTGGGGCCAAATGGGGCAGGCCCACGTGATCTCCTCTCGCCTGAGAGCAGCAGCCTGGTGAGGCAGCTGGAGGTCAGGATCAAAGAACTCAAAGGCTGGATGAGAGATACCGAGCTTTTCATCTTCAACTCCTGTCTGCTGCAGGAAAAGGAAGGAACAATGGACACCCAGAAAAAACTGCAGTATTTCAAGGTAACAGCTCACGTAATTGTTTCTTCAATGGATTTCACGTGGTATATGTATACGGTAATATATATAGCAAATACATATCACAGGCAATGGACTTTTAATTATTGAAAGAAGATACAAGACCCTGATAAATTAGGACTTTGGGTGTGTATTTGTACATAATGTGTACGTGCTCTTACTCCCATGCAGTTTCACATGTGCTTGTGTTTTGTGTAGTACAGTATAATGCAGGACTACGTCAGTATGTGCAATCTTAAGTTAACCTGAACATTACGAATGGGGTCAAGATGGAAGCTGAGCCAGATGTAGCTACTCTTAAAGAAACCCTGTCATCCTTTTCTAATTTGCAGTGTTATTTCTCAGCACATTATACAGGCGAGGAACTGCACGACCTGAGGGTGGCCAGTCTCCTGTACTCTGTAGTCCATGGAAGCCTCTGGGCCTTCATGTCAAATGATTACATGGGATGCGTTTTCCTTAGGATTTGACAGATCATGATGTTCATCTTTTTAGAAACAAAGTTTTAAGCCTATTTCTAGAGACTCGAGTTGAAGTTTGTTACATTGCCTTGCGTTTTATAAATAGAAGAGCCTATTCTGTCCTGCCTCTGAAAGGTATCAGTGTTGATCTGAACACAACGGAACTAATGAAGGCTACAAGTCTTCAATCTGACAACAAATTAGTCAATCTTATTTCTTTTGATACTGTAGAATTTACCTTTAAATTGTAAAATGAAGTTTCTATAAACTGAATAGTTATAAAGTAGAAATGGATTGCAGACCAGATTAGGAGACTGATACAAAGCTGAACACTGAGTAACTATAGCTTAGCATGTGGTAGAGTACAGCTCAAAATTAAATATGCACAAATGTACTAGCAGCATTGATAACTATGAAATATCTTTACTTTGTATTTTCCTAAATTACAATATGTGTGAAATTCTACTGTTTTGATAATGAAATAAAAATCAAAGTAAAGTCCCTTGCTCTGCAGTGCAACCATACTTTTCAGAGCATTTCACAACTTAGTGAAATCTTACTTCATGTGATTTGACATTCTCTGTGTGATAAACCCCTCTCACCATGTATGGGCATGAGAGGAAAATAACCTCTCACTTCATTCACTGGTAAAAGAAAATATTATTGGTATTCCTACTGAGGATGGTGAATCACATTTCGAGTGAGGTGAGAGTCCACTCACACAATATAATGGAGAAACACTGCCTGCGACATATTTAGCCTGTTTGAAATGGACAATACCTGATGGTTCATTACATTTGTTCAGCTTGTAACTGATCCTAACAGATCAAGAGGGTCACAGGTTTCTTAGCCAATCTGTGCTGAATTAGGTGATCTGAGCAGGTGTAACATGAGCCCCACTACAATTGGATTAAATAAGCCTCAACTTTAAGAAAGGAGAAATCAGTGAGTGTTCCTGTTGATCATGATCGAGTGACCACTCCTCGAGATGTGTATGTACTCACTTGGTGAGGATGGGATTGGGCGCTCCTCCAATTTTGCCTCTACATTTGCATAGTGTGGATCTAATTTAAGCAGCTGTTGTTTGCCTGGATTTCTGGGGATGAAGCAGTGAATTAATGTTACTGCAGCATCATACATCAAGCTGTAAACCCCAGTAAACCAAAACCTGGAATCCACTTTGGAGTTTATGCTCCTGCAACTCTGACCTCATAGCCCAATGAAACGTTTCCATTAGAAGGGTGAGTTTTCAGCTCAGGGTGTCCAATTCAGTAGTGTCATGTGGCATTTATTCTGCTATTAGCTTTACAGTATATAGAAGGGACATTTGTGTCCTCCTTAGCTCCATGTTGAAAGACAAATGTAGCAACTGATTTGTGGAAAAAGATTAAGCACAGCTTGGTATTTTCTGAAGCTTGTCTAGTGGCACATGCTTTTTAATGTACTCTCTTGCATACTGTAAATCTATATTATAAATCTTTACCAAATGTTAAGGAGAAAATATATGACTTTGGGAGCTGGGGGTTACATGGAACATACATCAAAATTATTACAAAGGGAAACCCACATGTAAAGCATTCTTCTTGCTACTTTTAAAAGGCATTTTGTTGATGTTCTGAAGTATTGTCAGATGAGCCTTTGAAAGCTTTAAAACACTGTGCTTTTAAATGTTATTTGGCCATTGGCAAAGAAATTTAGAAACAAATCTGTGGGAGATTTGTGAGAAATTTGTAGGGGGAAAGTGGTAGACGTTATTTTGCTTATTTCTGTCTGACAGAATATATCACTCCAAGCAATAAGATTTGAATAGCAAGAAATATTGACTCCGATGGGAGTAAAGAATATTCATACATGGTTAAATAATCCAGTTTTAATAAGGATGTTTGTAAGACGATATCCATAGCAGTTTGCAAAAGTCTGTCAGACATAAAACAGTCACATCTGGAATGTTGAAGTTCAAAATATAATTGGAGGCAGAAGAAAATCTAAACATAGTATCTAAGGAAAAAGATAGTGCAGTCTCTGATCTTAGAAAGTTTAAAAGAATCATCAAGGATGGGGAAAAGGCAATGGAAACCATGAAATGTTCAATCAGTTTATTGTGTAAATTTCTACAAAAAGAAATTTAGGAGATACAAGCATAGCCGTCAGATTTTAAGTAGAAAACACAAGGTTTGTGAAAATCAATGTTTTTTAGATTAGGACTTTGCATGTTCTGTAAGGCAGAATAGATACAGATGCAGAAAACGTGTGTAGTGTTGAACTTATTAAAGTTTCTGGTTGCTGTCAATAATGCCAAGAAAATAGATTTCTATGGCTATGGAACAAGGGGAAATTCAAGTTTGAGAGGAGAAACTAGCATCTGGGCCTTGCTGACTGCATGATAGTCAGATGCATGATTTTTAAAGCATGTTGTTTGGTACACTATCAAAACTGAAAAGAACTGGAGAGAAAAAAACAACCAAGAAGTGGTTTGATTTTAAAGGTGTATCATTTGTAAGAGGAAGGGATTGAGGGAGTTCCACAGTCTAAATCATAGGGATCTCTGAGTTCTTGTTAGCTTGGTTATAGAGTAAATTTGTTACTGAAAAATGTAACAGTCCTGATTGAGGTAATGAATATTAATTCAGCTAATTAAGGAATATAAATCAGTAGCATATTAATTTGCCATATCTATTAAAGTTATTTCACTAGTGGAAGTAGGCTTGCCTGAGAGGGTGAGAGGCATAAAGCTCTTATTCATATATGTAGCCTTCATAATACAGTAACAAACTTGTTACCGTATTGTGTTGTACTATAGAAACAAACTTGTAGACAAGAGTATCGAAACATTGATTTTTTTTGTTTTCAGGCATCTACCACTATAGAAACCAGACGTGTTGTTAGCAATCTGCATGTGATAATAACTTCCGTAGTACAACTTAACTTCGCCGGCCTTCCCGGCACCTCCCTCCACAAGCTGCAGGTCATTCAGAGCTCTGCAGCTCGTGTACTGTCCCGCACCAGGCTTCGCCATCACATCACTCCCACCCTCGCTCGCCTCCACTGGCTCCCCATCCCCAGAGGATCGAATTCAAGATCCTCATCCTCACCTACAAGGCCATTCACGGCCTTGCTCCCTCCTACCTCTCCGACCTACTATCCCCTTACTTATCTGCCCGTACCCTCCGTTCCTCTGGCTCCGGTCTGCTCCACATTCCCCGCCCCAATCGTCCTAACATCGGTGGCCCGGCCTTCAGCCTCTCAGTCCCTAGGCTCTGGGACTCCATCCCCCAGTGCCTTCGCCTTGCCTCCTCCCTTTCCTCCTTCAAGGCCGGTCTCAAGACCTTTCTCTCTGACCGTGCCTTCAGCTCCCCTCTCGACTCTCTACCCCCTCCTCGTTCCCTCCCTTCCCGACGTGAAAGGCGCTCTATAAATGGAATCTTGTTGTTGTTGTTAATGCTTTCATAGTCCAATAACGCATATGTGAAATGTAAATGGTTCAAGTTTGAGTTTGGGTTTTTTAGCATTAATTGCATACTTGCAAAACTTTAACAACAGTGACTTATGACCTTGTACCACTGGTCTGTGATGCAGTAAAAGCTTTTGTAGTTGTGATTAAAATGATAATGAAAATGAAATAAAAAGGCTATTATTTGAGAAATTGCCACAAATTATTTACAGCATTTTAGCATTTAAATTGGCTACAGGCTTGTAAATAAGACGCTTAGCTTGAAGCATCATACATTGCAGCTGATATTAAGAAAATGACATGACCAACATTGAGTATTTTCAGTCAAAAATTAAATCTTTATTAAACAGATTAGGAAAATTATAGTTGTAATTCTAAAGAACAAATGTGCCTTTTAATGTCAGAATGGTATCCATCACAGCAATTGAGATGAGGTATATTTCAGTACCACAGTACTATTAATGAAAGATAGCTATCTTAGCATAACAGAGTACACAACAGAAAATGCATTTGCTTCAATATGTTTTTAAAATCCTTTCAATAAAACTGTCTTCATCCTTTGTACTTAACTCAGAAAAAATGTTTTCCTCACTTACAGTGCATTTTCTCCTTCCTCACTAATGTATTTGCTTAGCCTTCCTACTGGGTTTTCAATCCTGGGTGACTTACTTAAAGCTTATACCGCGTCACGTGTAATGTTCAGCTAACAAAACTATTATTTTTCATTAAGCTAACAGAATGCAGCAATACCGATGTAGCAGCAGTATTTATGACGTGATTATCAGTATGGAAAATCCCCTCAGCATCCATTAGTAAGTCTTACATAGTTTATATTTAAATAACTTGAGAAATACTATCGGGCACAACAGTATGTTTCTTTCACTAATGCAGTGAAGCCAAAAAGAAATCGCGAGAATGATAAATGAGCCGGTTTGGAGAAAATTAGAAATGCTTTCTCTCTTGACGTATAATATATTATCCATTATTGGCCATATCAGTGCTCGTGTCCATTTTCTTATTAGCAACTGTTTTGACAGATAGATTTTAAAACAATATTGATCTGACTCTTTGGT